TGCATTTTGATTTAGTTTTCGTGCACATTTTGGCAAACTGCATATCTGCTAGCAACTTTTGGGTGCCTTTAACAAATAATGGTACCACAAACATGACATGCATTTTTCATGCGTTTTTCAGAACACACACAAAAATGCAGGTAAAAAATTATCCAAAATACATGGTAAAAAATCATCAAAATGCACATAAAAGTAAAAAAAAAATGTGTTTTGAAAAAAGCAGTAAAGTGTTTGTTAAAAACTGCACTAAAATGTGCATTAAAAATGCCCAAAAATTGCCAAACTGAACCTTTTTTGGGCATGGAGTGTTGTGTGTTTTTTCAATGCGCATTTTGATGCACTGATAGGGTATTTGTCAAATGACAAAATGTGCGGAAAAATGCATATCTGCTAACGTCCTTTGGGGTGCCAGTAACAATGAATGGCACCCAAAAGCACACTGCGTATTTTAACAGAATTTTATCACAATTTGGAATTGCGGCAAGAATTGTGTAATTTTGCATTGCAAACTGTTGCAGGCATCATCCCGGTATAACCACTCAAAGTCTAGCAACGTACCAGTACATTATTGGTCCATGTTGGGCATATATGTAACAGCAGAGAACATGGGCATATGAGGAATCGGGTCTGGGAAAACGAAACTAATGACACAAAGAGGGAGGAAGATAACAAAAGAAAGTTTGATGTCTCATAAACTTTTTCAGGTCTGTGTTCTCACATTTGTGCTCTGACAGTAATGAGTTTGCCTTTTTTTTAACTCCGGTTGTCTACTGTTATGCTTATAAATGTCACTGCACTGCTTACTTTTTTTTTTTATAAGCTGCAAGCACAAAATGTGTTCCACTAACACAAAATCAATGAAATTGAAATAAACAGAAATGTGCATCACTAGATCCAAAACAAATAATAATTACAAAATTTAAAAAAGGACCAGATTCACATATCAAATATCAATTGTCCAACCTATAACAATAAATGACTGGAGCACCCTAAAATCTCTCATATATAAAGGTTTATTATGGGGAGCCCCCATACACAGTTTCCAATCATAGTCCCTCCTTTAATGAACCACAACTTCTATGTGAAATCACACAAAAGCGTGCACCTCTTGACTGAACACCTCCAACCATGCAACTACTGTATTTTATATGCTCACCCATATAGAGACCTCACAGGGTCTCTATATGGGTGTCATACAGAACTCATTTGTTTAAACTCAGGATGGTCTCATCTGGTCGGTTTACAAACACTCCAGAAAGCCCCAGTAATTATCCCTTCCTGGACAACTAATGCTCTCTTTTTTTTCTTTATTACAGTTTAGACCCCTTCCACACAGATGTCATCCATTCAGTCACATTTTTTCAAAGAAAAAAATAATTCAGTTTATATCAGTTTGCACGTCCATTTTCAGTGCAGTTCAGTTTACGTCAGAGCTCAGTTTACAGTTCAGGTTATGTCAGTTCAGTTTGGTTTACATCAGTTTATATCAGTTCAGTTCTGTTTACATCAGTCTACATCCATTTTTTGCATCCATTTTTTTCTTAGTATTTGCAGAGACCAGAGGTGACAAAAGTAGAAACAAAAATTATTCTTCACTAAAAACAGACATAGACAAAACAAATGGCATCTGTTTATTGTATATCCATTTATATCCATTCAATTTCAATTGATCTGGTCATTGGATGTTTGAAAAAAATGGACCTGAATGGACATGAAACATAAACATATATTGTGGTTCAGTCTGGATTCGCCGCCTGTAAAACTGGCATACACATTTGGACTGAACGCCCCTGTGAAAGGGGCCTAAGACAATTATATACTCAGAAAGTAGGGAGGCAATACATTATATGAGCATATGAGCTGTTGACATCACAACCACCCGGCGGTCGGCTTTCATGGGTAAAGCAATCCTAGTTTTTACAAGAAGAGGGAAGGGACATCCCCCCCGCCTCCTCCTGCCTTCCACAGTTTTCTTGGGTTTTCTGAGAATGCAGCCGGCAGATCCGCTGTCGGACCATAGAGCTGATCAGAGACCAGAATGGCTCCAAGCATCTCTATAGTCTAAGAAGTCGGAAGCTACGAGCTACTTCAGTTTTGCAGGATATAAACAGTGCCATTTATAAATTGGGAAAGCATCTGCGCACACTGATCTTGGTGATATCAGATGATGCAAGGGCAGAGGAGATATCTAGAGTTTAATAGACCCCAGATTTTTAAAAAAAGAATATGTCAATCCCTATTGCAGTCAGAGGGGATATTTACATTCCCTGTGATAGCAATAAAAGTGATTAAAAAAAAAAAGGACAGTGTAAAAAAATAATAATAAAAAAAAAAAAAAAGCACCCTTGCCCACCTGGGTGCGTAAGTGTTGACCCCATGCTGGTATGTACACAGCTGTTGCACCATGCATGCAAGGTATCACCGCGAATGTCAGATCAAGTGCAGTAATTTTAGCACTAGACCTCCTGTGTAAATTGGTGACCTGTAAAGGCTTTTAAAGCGTCGCCTATGGATAATAAAAATGCATGTATTTTGTTGCTATTGCACGAGCATGCACAATTTTAAAGCATTTCATGTTTGGTATCTATTTACTCGACATAACATTATCTTTTATATTTTATCAAACTATTAGGCAATATATTGTGTTTTTGTGCATTCAAATTCTAAAAAGTGTATTTTTCCCAAAAGATTTGCGTTTTAAAAATTGCTGCGTAAATACTGTTTGACGTAAAAAATTTTCAACACCCACCGTTTTATTCTCTAGGGCCTCTGCTTTAAAAAAATATATAAATGTTGGGGGGTTAAAAGTAATTTTCTAGCAAAAAAAATGTTTTTTTTTCATGTGTGCAAAAAGTGTCAGAAAAGACCTGGTCTTCAAGAGTGAGTGATGTGTGGCATAAGCTTCTAATGTTGTTTTTCAAGTCAGGAAGACCCCCTTCAGAAACAAAGGTGCCTCTAGAGATCCACCTCCCCCTATGTGAATGTGTACAGGTGACATAGTACTCCTTGTTATTTATTCACACACAGAAATGTAAATAGTAAATATTAAAAAAAAACTAAATAGATAGCCCCCCAAACCTAAGAGGTTAATCCTCTGCCTTGTGTAAAAAGGCTGTTTGATCCTGGCTTCTCTGATCCTCCCCATCTTCCAGTGTCCCCCCTCTTATCTCCTTAAAAGACATATGGTCAGAAAAAGTGTCAGAAAATGCTTGGTCTTCAAGAATGAGTCATGTGTGGCATAAGCTTCTAATGTTGGCCCTGAAATGCAAGGATAGTAGAAGAAACCCCTCCAAATGACCCCTTTTTGGAAAGTAGACACTCCAAAGTATTTGCTAAGAGGCATCGTGAGTATTTTGCAGATCTCATTTGTTGCCACGTTTTTGGAAAATGAAGAAAGAAAACAAAAATGTATTTTTTCTTTTCTTTTTTCAAAACCCTGTGAAAACAAAAAATATCTGTAAAATACTCACCATGCCTCTTATCAATTCCTTGGGGTGTCTACGTTCCAAAAAGGGGTCATTTGGTGGGGAGTTTGTACTATCCTGGCATTTTACGACCTCCAAAACTGTGATAGGTAGTGGAGAAGTGATGTGAAGAAATATGCGCTTTGAAAGCCTGGAGGTGGTCATTGGATTTTGGGGGCCTGTTTGCAGCTAGGCTATAAAGTCTCTCACATGTAGTATACCCATACTCGGGAGTAGAAAAATGTGTTTTGGGGTGTTATTCCACATATACTGGCATGCATGAGCAATAGATCATTAAAGTGACAACTTTGTGTAAAAAAAACTGTCATTTTCAAAAAATTTGTGGCAAAAAATAAAATGTTCCATGGACTCAACATGCCTCTCTGCAAAGTCCTTGGGGTAAACATAAAATATGTAGTGCAGCAGTATAAAATTCTAAAAACATATAGATAAGATGCAAACGCCTGAGGCTAAAATTCACGGAAAGATGGCCAGTATAGCATAGAATAAAATAACAAAATGGTGACAAGTAATGTCCGTATCCAATGTGAAATAATATATATTAACAAACATGCACTATGTATGACAAAAAAGCAACTTAGAAGGTCATATGGCTTTCTTTTTAGTGTACTAGCTGCTTTTATCTTTTAAGCGCTCGCTGAACCCCGTTTTTTTACAAAGTCCTTGGGGTGTATGCTTTTCAAAAATGGTTCATTTTTGGGGGGGGGGGAGGGGGTTGTACTGCCCTGGCATTTTAGCACGTCAAGAAATGTGTCAGAAAGTAAACATAAAATTACAATATATACCATAGTTTGTAGACGCTATAACTTTCACACAAACCAATTAACATACATGTATTGAGATTTTTTTTTTACCAAAGAAATGTAGCAGAATACATTTGTATGACTAACTTTGAGTTTATTGGATATTTTGTATAGCCAAAAGGGGAAAAATATCATCTTTTTTGTTTATAGTGCAAAAAGTAAAAACTGCAGAGGTGATCAAATGCCACAAAAAGAAAGCTCTACTTGTGTTTAAAAAAGGACATACGTTTAGTTTGGATACAGCATTGCACGACCATGCAATTACCAGTTGAAACCAGTGCAGAACAGCAAAAAATGGCCTGGTCATGAAGGAGGTAAATCCTCTGGAGGGCAAGTAGTTAAAAAGCCAGAAGTGATGAGCAGCTGTCATTTGTGGTAGCAATGACATGGCATCGAGTGAGCGAGTCATCTTAGTGGTTGGTCAACATCATGAGGTGTTGATTATTGTGATTGGTGTAGACCTACAACACTGGACAACACTGTTGATGTTGGACCTACATTGTTTATTTTTTCTAATCAAGGACCTTTGCCTGCCACCCAAAAGGCATGTGGAGGTCTTTGGGTAAGACTTACTGAAGTCAGGAAGCCCCCTTCAGAAAAAAGGCACCTCTAGAGATTCACCTTCCCCTATGTAAATGTGTACAGGGTACATAGCACCCCTATTCACACACACAAATGTAAATATTAAAAAAAAATAAATAGCCCCCCAAACCTAAGGTGTTAATCCTCTGCATTGTGTAAAAAGGCTGCTTGATCCTGGCTTCTCTGACCCTCCCAATCTTCCAGTGTCCCCCTCTTATCTCCTTAAAAGACATATGGTGTGGAGACACTCTGCACATGCTCAGTTTGGTGCGTATTGCTAGAGAGGTTATTTTTTTTTCTTCGGAGGGTGCATGTGATCAGCACAGGGCCAATCAGCACTGTGCATACAGAGGTCAGGGGCTCTGCATCCTCCTACAAGCTTTAACATGTGCTCTACTGGACACTGATAGAAGTCACAAGACTGCTGTAACTGCTGATGAGAAAAGGTATTTAGCAGTTTATATTTGCTAAAACAATTGCATTTCCATGTTCTGTGTACTGTGGGAGACCAGATATGCAGGGTACTGTGTTTAGTAACACTTTAAATGGCTGGTGTCATAGTTAGTCACATGAAGGGTTGCCATTGGGGGGGACAGCCCATACATATGTAAGGATCCCGGCCACCCGCGCCCCCCCAGCTACTTTGTCTGTTGTGCTGGGCAAAATGCTTCTAGCACTTTCCAGGTCCTCCTGTACCGGCTGGGAGAAAGGGGGGGTTGGGCAGAGGTAGAAAACAAACCTTGATTTGTAACAGTTAAAAAGAAAAAAAATCCCATCCTGTGCAGCAGATTGAGATAGAAGAGAACGTGACTGTAATGTACTTGTCTGGCACAGGAGATTACTACACCTGCACGTGAAAGTGAAGAAATTGTCCGCTTGGCTGGGGAAAGATACTCTGTTCTTTTTAATTGCTACAGATTGCGGTCTCCTCTCTGCAACAACTGTTCATGTTGTCCCTGGTTTGAGTCCAGGCTCCTTCTGACTGGGATGGCTGTGTGTGCAGGGAAGGGGTCTTCCATCTGAAAGGTATGGTATTGCCCACTAGAAGGACATGGCTGTATGTATTGAATGTGCCATCTTTTATTAACAACAATTGCTATATGGGGATGTCTCTTTGCTATATGGGAATGCCTCTTTGCTGGATTAGGCTATTTGCTATATGGAGATGTCTCTTTCTTGAATATATGGACTTGCTTCTTTTCTGCATTGGAGTGTCTCTTTGCTGAATATATGATGTCTATTTGCTGGATTGGGATGTCTCTTTGATTATATGGGTATGTCTCTTTTTTGGATCAGACTGTCTATTTGTTGAATATATGGGGCTGTCTCTTTGCTAGATTTTGATGTCTCTTTGCTGAATATATGGGGATGTCTCTACTGAATATATGAACTGCCTCTTTTTTGTTGGATTGGGATTTGCTGAATATATGGTGGTGCCTCTTTGCTGGATTGGGCTGGCTCTTTGCTGAATATATGGATCTGTCTCTTTGCTGGATTGGGCTGTCTCTTTATTGAAAATATGGGGCTGTTCCTTTGCTGGATTGAGTGATCTCTTTGCTGAATATATGAGGCAGTCTCTTTGCTTGATTGGGACATTTCTTTGTGGGATACAAGCACTAATGATTTGGAATACACTTTTTCATTTTTATATATTTAGTTGTAAGAGTTAAAATGAAAGTGGATGCACTGAAGGACTCGGTGGGATGTCCAGTGGGCAGATTCGGTGGGATGTCCAGTGGGCAGATTCGGTGGGACAGCCAGTGGGCAGGCCCTAAGGAATGTTGGTGGTCAGGCCCGGGGAGGCCCAGGCCTAAAGCTGTGTAAGGGGCCCCAAAATATCTGATGGCTGCCCTGGTCACAAGTGCACAACAATGATGATTGCAGATCTAAATAGAGAGTCCTTCAGCTGTAAAGGATAGGAGGGTTTAGTTTCACTTTAGGTTGCATCTTAACTGCAGACAAAGTAGGTCAAATTATGCCTGTTCTTGTCAGAGACTGAATTACTCTTTTAAATGTAGCTGTATGTGTTTAACTGGAACATCTGTCAACATAAATCCATATTGAACCCGATAATTCTATTGCCTGCTAGGCAACCTAACATAGACACCAAGTACCATGCACTGCTGTACCAATTATTCTATGCATGCCTGTAGCAATTATTTTATGCATGCCTCTTTCAGAAACTTCTGCATGCTACTTGTACTGTATAGTTTGAAATGAATCTCTTCTGTTAGCAATTAATCACTAGTGTTTTAAAAGCATGATTGAGCTGTGAGAGATTGGCCATGTGCTCCTGTACTAGTTATACTGTAGAGCATATAAAGCATTGTGTGAGTTCCCTAGCGCATATGACTCTGTTTGTGCTAATCTGCAGAAACAGAATTAGACAAAGATTAGGCAACATCATGCACCTTTCTCTTATTGCTTTTTATGTGCATATAGGGGTACTTCTACCTTACAAAATGTAAAGGATATTAGTACAGGGTTCTCACACATATTATATAGATTTTGGATTTGCCAGGTGTCCTGTCAGCCACACAGTATATTTTTGTTTGCTACACCTTTTTCCTTTCTTAACCCCTTGACGCCGAGCGTACGTAAATATGCGGCCTTTCGGCGTCTGGGCCTTGAAGCCGAGCTGCCGCATATTTGCGTGCCAGTAAAAAAATACATATGTGCTGAGAGAGCGCACCCTGCACGCTCCCAGCTCCCAGCACAGAAAGGTCCTGATCTCCCCGTGCGAACGGGACCTTTTCCGATCATGTGACCGCGAATCACGACGGTCAAATGACCCTAAACCCTACCCGCATCCTGGTTTCTGAAACTCTTAAAGGGCCAGGAGGCGCTGGTGCTAAGAGGTTAATATATAGGTGACACAAGCCCATGGTTATAATGACACATTCTGCCCTGTTGTAGGCATCTTTATCAGTGTGCTTATTCTTGGTAAAAGGTACTGATGAATATTCTTTTATTCATGGATAAGCTTTATGCAAGCTTTGTTGCTGTCTGCATCAAAAAATTAACATTGAACATGTAAAACGTCATGAAAAATGCTTAAACTTTGGTAAATACAATGGGGTTGATTTACTGACTGCAAAGTGCACAATCTGGGGCAACACTGCATAAAAACCAATCAACTTCAAAGGGTTTTCTCTCTTCAAAGTTTAATTGAACCAGCTGAAGTTAAAGCTGATTGGCTACCATACACAGCTGCACCAGGTTTTGTACTCTCCAGTTTTAGTAATTCAACCCCAATAAATGTAATTTAACATAGCAAAAGGACAGATGCAATAAATTGGCAGTCAGAGCGGGAACTGAAATCTGAGCTAAAGAAAGAAAAAAATGCTTTATGACTCAACATGAAACAGGTCACAAACTGATCTATTTATACATTATGTAACACTATAAATCCTTTTACATACTAGACTAAAAAGAAAGTATAGCATTACCAAATTTTAATTAACATGGGCAGGAAAAAGGCCAGTGATAGCGTGGAGACCCAACCTCATTATAACAAATATATTACTATATAAGCATTATTAATATAAGCACAATCTTTTTTCAACTTCACAAAATTATGAATGATTTTATATTTCACCACCATACTATTGGAAAGGGGGATAATCCTTTAGTCTAGGTTCACACCTAAGCATTTTGCAGAAATGCACTACAGTCCATTTAACGTGATTTTTTATGCGACATGTTCACATCTCCGCGTTTTCACCCGATGCGTTTTTTGGAAAGGGTCAGTGACTTTTTCTGAGCACAAAATGTTGCATTTTTGGTTCTATAGACTTTAATGGAGATGCTGCAGAAAAGCACATAGTGCGTTTTTTATGCATTTTGTGCTTTAATCTGCCTAGTGACAAGAAAAAAAAAGTCATAAAAATGCAAAAAGCGCCGCAAAGAGCCCCTGCAGAAACAGATTAAAAACACAAACTGCATAGGTGTGAACCTAGCCTAAGGTAAACTAATATTTAACCCCTTGATGCCGAGCTCACGCAAATATGCGGCCTATCGCCGTCTGGGCCTTTGCGCGCTACCAGCACATATGTCCATGAGTCATGGAAAGGTCCCGATCTCCCCTTTCGATCGGGACCTTTTTCAATCATGTGACCACCGTGACGGGGGAATCACAGCAGTCACATGACCTAAAACCCTGCTCGGCTTCTGAAACTCACCCTTAAAGGGACCGGTAGGCACCAGCACCAAGAGATTAAATAAACAGTTGATACAAGGTACAGCCATGACACAGTTTTTGCAAAAAAAGTCTCAGATTTTTAAAGAAATAGCACAGCAGAAGTTGTCTTCAAAGACTGGATCTACAGTATGTAACTGACTGCTCATCATACAGGCTATATGAAAGTGTTGGAGTTTTGACTAATCAGAATGTCCAGCATTTGTGCAGAACATTGAAAACAGTTGGAGATATACCTGCTATCAGCATTTTTTGTTAATGTGACACATCCACTAAAGAAAACCTCTGCAAGGCACTGTTCATTTTTTTAAATTGCTGTACAACATAATAAAATGTATAATATTTTCAGAAATCATATTTTTTTTATGTAACAAATTGATGTTTGTCGCCCCCTATTTCCCTAGCTGCGATGCCCACATGGAGACATTTAAAACTTCCTTCCTGTTTGCAACTACAGCTCCTGGCTGTTCTGCTCATGCTGAACCAAGAATAATCTCAATGTAGGGGGGAGATTTAGGGCTCGTTCACACGTTGACTGTTTTACCAACTCTCTTGCCAAATGCCCCTATAGCGTTTGGCAAGCGTTGGTCCGGCGTTTGCGGAGCGTTTTTTTTATAACGCTCCGCAAATGCCGCATGCGCGGTTCAGCGGAGGTTTGCTAGGTGTTTGCCGAGCATTAAAAACACACCTACAAACGCCTATAATGAAGTTTGAATGGTGTTACTGCTCCGCGAATGCCCCGCAGCCGTGTCGCAAACGCACTGCAAACGCCGGGCGTTTGCGGAGCGGCACCCATAGACTAGAATAGGAGGCTTCAACGCCTCTCCTGACTCGACCAAAGAGTCCATTTGTGCCCTGACGCAACGCTAACACTCATCCCGTTAGAACAGCACCATGTGCTGCAGAATGTGCAAAAATTGTCCGAGAGTTTGGGAAAGCGGTTATTTAAAAACGCTTCCCAAATGCTTTTTGGCCGCCTGCACACAATGCTAGTGTGAACGTAGCCTTACTAAACCTTGAACACTCAGAATCAGCTGTGGGCATTGTAGTCAATCAGCTTCTAACTTCTGCTTGTTCATTTTAGCTTTGACAATAAACCACCTGAAAAGCTAATTGGTTTCTATTCAGAGCTACACCAGATTCTGCACGCTCCTGGTTTTAGTAACACCCCCCCCCCCCAATGTTTCATACTAATATTTGTCACTTCTGCACTACTGGTAGCAGAAGAATATGCACACTATCAGTTTCTCTATATCACAAGGCAATGCCGAGGGCCTAAATAAAATTATCAGGAGGTGCAGTTTAAAATACACAAATA